GGGATTTTGGCCAATGGGAGCAGCAGAAAAACTTCAGGGCAGCAAGTCCATGGGGGCTGATCTTGAGCTGCGGCCCACCTGCAAGGCAGCTACAGAACACTAGTGGTCCACCGACCGCAGTTTGAGAACCACTGAACTAGAAGGAAGCCTTCAGAGATGCTTCAGTTCTACTGCCTAGCTCACGTATTGTGTGTATTCTGAGGAGCAGAATGTTCAGATAAAGGAGGAAGTTCCTAAAAACAAGGATAAACATATCTGAAAATGCACAAATCTGCAAGTGAACGAATACTCAATTTATGGCAAATGCTGAGTTATGGCAAGGGCAGTCTAACTAATACATGATCCAATATTCTGGGGGAAAATTTTACTTTTAAAAATGGATGTAATTGATTGTATAATAGGAAATAATGCAGCTAATGGTATATATATTTGTGGAGTTTCAAAATGATACCAATGCTATATATTTTGATTATTTGCTAGTGCTCAAATGAAAGTTTGATATTTAGGTTGCTGATACGATTTATACATAAAGGCCTTATTACCACATACACAATGCTTATTTATTTTACATTAAGTACTCCTCCAGTAGAAAACCCCCTCACTGTGCTCCTTTTGGAACAGAAATATATTATACACTCAGGGTATGTCTACACTACTTTCAAGTAGGAATAAGGGATCTTCCAGAAAAGGGCTTATTTTCCGCAAGATCCCATCTAGACTGGCGCTTTTCTCCGGCAAAACCCCGAGCCGGAAAAAAGCGGCAGCCATGTTCATGCAAATGACGCGGGGGATATTTAAATCCCCCGTGGCATTTGCAATTCCGAAGTGTCTCATTAGCATCCCTTTTCCAGAAAAGGGTGCCAATGTAGACACAGCCTCAGAGTTTTCAGTATTCCTGATTTACACTTGCCTAAGTGAAATCAGAATCTGGTATTAGCCCTTGAAAACAAAAGCTGTGGAAAGAGTATGGGGTAATACACTATAGTTTGTTTGACAACCTCACAAGTTAATTAAATTGCATGATAAGTTTCTCAGGCCTTGGTAGCTTAAATCTTCCTTACCTTGGCAAGAATGTCTTCTTGTTCCGTTTTAACGCCAAATTTGGGGATACTGGAATTTGTTAAACTGGAGCTATGCATCAATTTTTTCACTCCACTGATCTGGGACATAGGCCTCTTCTTTTTCTCTTTCTCCTTCTGTGTTGGAGAAGGGATTTCCACTTCATGTTGTTTGTCTTTGAAGAAAGGAAAGAAAACAATAATTCTGAAGGTCAGTCACTCCCTATACTTATAAAATTACATATTTTTGTTGTTCTTAGTGGTTAAGATTGATTTTGTGTACACTATAATTCTTCTATTATCATTCTGTGTCTTTTTGAGCCAAACATGGAGACTAATAATGATCAGAAATTAAAAGCAATTGAACAAGAAACTAAGTTCAACTTTATAGAACACTGCATTATTCAAAAGGTTATTTAATTATTCTTACTAGCAATTATATAAAATACTAAGCTTAACCCACACAATCACAACCTGAACATTAGTATTTCTTATCCATGAAAGACTCAAAACATTTTCCCTGTTTCGCCTAGATACAAATTATGCATTTTAAATAATGAATAAGATCATTCTTTAAAGTGCATAATAATTAGCAATGTTTAGCAATAATAATAATAATAATAATAATAATAATACATTTCTGAATTGGAATGAAAAAATAACAAAATTTCATTTCAAACTTCTGGAAACAGCAGCCAGGAAATCAGGTTGCCCATGGTTTCTGAACTGCCAGAATCTGAAAGCCCTGTTAGCTACAGCTTGAAGGCAGCCTGTGTTTACTGAGGCTCACGGGCATCGGCTGTGGGGCTATAAAACTGCAATGTAGATGTTTGGGATTTGGGCTGGAGCCTGGATTGTGAGATTCTGAGAGGAGGTGGGTCTCACAACCCAAGCTCCAACCAAACCCATCCACAGTGCTATTTTTATCTGCACAACTTCAAGCAGCTGGAAAGCAATGAAGCCTGGAAGATTTAAATATTAAATCTATTTTTCCTATATATACTAATTTAATTAAGTAGTATCTGAACTTTCTCCCTTCATTAAAAACCCTTCCTTTTGTGCTTTAAATCAATGGAATATTGTTGAATGTTAAAGGTTTTCAAGTTAGCCTAAGTGACCTGCAATATGGCTTACAATGCAGAGAAAAAAAAAGTGGTTTTGGTCTTTTTGCTTCCTTATGATACATAAAAGGAGATATGAAAAGATTTAAAAAAGCATTTTTCTTTTTTTCTTAGAAATAAGAGGGATAGCAAGTCCTGATCTTTTGTTTTTGATTTATGACTGGTGAATTGAAAAACATGTCATTTTCACACCTCAACTGAAGAGAAAGAGTATGACATGTGAAAGTAATTGAATCAGAGGTATTTTCTCCCAATTTTTAAACAAAACAATCTACCCAAAAACCAAAACCAAACCCTCACTCACTCACTCACTCACTCACTCACTCACTCACTCACTCACTCACTCACTCACTCAAACAAACAAACAAACAAACAAACAAACAAACAAAAACCCTAAGCAAATAATGTTATAAACAGTCTGATTAAAAATGTGTCCTTCTCAATTTCTCAAGCTTATCTTTTGTAATATAATACAACCACGTGTTCTTTAGTCCAGCACAACCAGGAAAATCAAGGACTGATAATTTAACACAAAAATTATCACAGAAAATAATTAAAAACACACTTCTAAAACAAGCCAACCAACTTTCTGACCGTGAATATGTTTACATACAGATACTCCCCCCCCCGCTCCCAAAAAAGTCCAAACATCTTTTCTCTTCTTGTGCTGGTCATCTTTATTGGAGAAACTGAAATTGTATAGGGAATTCAATGCCATCTCTGTATTGCTGTGTTTGCTTCTGCAGTTTTTACTGTCTACCTTTCAGGAGTTTGCATTTACTGGAAATTGCACAGAATTTTGAACAAATCACTGCAACAAAGAAAATGTTACCAAGTTTTTTAGCCTGCAGCAGAGTTCCTTCTCCTCCGCTCCACTCTCTGACCAATCAGAAAAGCAAAGGAGGAAGGGGAGAAGAGTTTTTGACTGCTGCAAAGACATAACAAATGAAGAGCAGTGACTCGTGTGCATGCCTTGATGTTTATGGTTTCAGCCATATGCACAAAGTTTAGATCCATCAACAGGGAGGATTATAAACTGAGTTGTCAGATTAGTTCAAGTGAAAGGAAGTGTCTGTTCAAAAGGTTTCTGAACTGCTGTGGAATTCCATGGGATTTCCTCATATTTTTTTAAATATGGGAAGCTAATGGTATGAGTACTGAGCATCTTTTTAAAGTTTAAACTGAGAAACTTTCCTGTATTGATATGGTTTTTACAGCAGATTGTATTGGCTGCTAGATCCTCGTACGTTATCTATCTGAAAGAGAACTGGTTAATCACACTGTTTATATATGAACATTTTCCTTCCACACATCATTGTTCTGAATCTATTATCTAATTATTAATAATCTGATTATTATATATTTAAGGACAGTTCTGTAATTGAGATTACCCACTTGAATTTCCTTTATTTTTGAAAATATTGTTTTTTTATTTGGATGCCAACCACAGAAAGACAACATTCATTCTCAATAGATTCAAAGTGTTTGTCTCTCCAGAGCTTATTCTGCTTGAAAGCTGCAGGTCACATGTGAAAGGCAGACAGCTGAATTTTCTTATTCCTGTCAAAATGAGTCTTAATTTTTCACATGAAATCATGCAAAGATGCTGATAGCTCAGTCTTTTCAGTTGGAGAATGTGAGAGGCATCTTCTAAGTGGGTCATCTCCTCAGGCAACCTTATCCTCAGCTTTTAAATATTTCTGAAACTGTACAATAGAGCTCCACTTCTCACAGAGACAGATAACTTTCCTGTGCAGGTGAATCTGGGCATTCTACTGAAACAGTGAATAACTGAAAAGAAAAGAGTGTGTCTAGACTACAGGATTTTTTTGAAAAAAGTGGCCTTTTTTCAAAAAAACTTCCCCTGAATATAAACTGCTGCCACGTTCTTTGGAAAGTACAGGCAGTCCCTGGGTTACATACAAGATAGGGACTGTAGGTTTGTTCTTAAGTTGAATCTGTATGTAAGTCAGAACTGGCGTCCAGATTCAGCCGCTGTTGAAACTGATCAGTTTCAGCAGCAGCTGAAACTGGACGCCAGTTCCGACTTACATACAGATTCAACTTAAGAACAAACCTACAGTCCCTATCTTGTATGTAACCCAGGGACTGCCTGTACTTTCCAAAGAACGTGGCAGCAGTTTATATTCAGGGGAAGTTTTTTTGAAAAAAGGCCACTTTTTTCAAAAAAATCCTGTAGTCTAGACACACTCTATTTGTAAATGGGGAATGCCAATGCACCACGTGCTGAGAGATTTAGTGAGTTTGGGTTTGCTATGAATTTTCATCAGATCAAGATGCCTTTATAGTACAGTGAAAGCTTTGTTATCCAGCACTGTGTTATCTGGAAAACATTGTTAACTGGCATTGCCCTCAGCCACAATACTGCTGCATCTTCAGGCGCATCAAGCTTGTCCAGCCAGCTGTTGTGGTGCTTCTAACAGCTGGCACTGTTGGCTGATGTCATCAGCAGGCACCTCCTTCACCCTCAGACTACCTCAAGCTGCTGGGAGTTAGATCTGCTGGTAGCATGTGGGACGAGAGAAATAAGTGTTGCTACATGGCACATTCAATTACCCGTCAACCCCCATTTCCCATGAGTACCAGATAACAAAGCTTTCACCATAGAATTGTACAACTTCTTCACTGGGCAAAATGGGTACTAAGTGCAATGATAATTTTAAAATCTATTAAGCAATTCACTATACTAATCCCTCCTCAATTATTTTTGTAATCTGTATGATTATTTCATGTTAACTACTATAGTGCATGGGAATACATAGATATAGGTTTTTAACCAGAATACTTTACTACAGCGCTCAACAACTTTCTGAACAGAGCAGCAACACAAAATGTATATGTGCAACAATGTATATAGGATAGATCATTTTATCTATGGCCGTGTCCAGACTCAGGGTTTTTTTCGGGAAAAGTAGCCTTTTCCCGAAAAAACTTCCCCTGCGTCCAGACTCAAGCCACGTTCTTTCGAAATTATTTCGAAAGAACGCGGCTTTTCTTTCTATGGCGGTAAACCTCAATTTACGAGGAAGAACGCCTTCTTTCGAAAGTTCCTCTTTCGAAAGAAGGCGTTCTTCAATGTAAATAGGCCGTCTTCGAAAGAGAGCATCCAGACTCGCTGGGTGCTCTCTTTCGAAAAAGCGGATTTCTCTTTTGAAAGATCCGCCTGCAGTCTAGACGCGATCTTTCGAAAGACGCTCTTTCGAAAGATGCTTTCGAAAGAGCCTCTTTCGAAAGAAGCCTGCAGTCTAGACATAGCCTATGAGACCTGATCTCTGCATCGAAATACTGAACAGTGGAATTTACAAAACACATAACTACTAAAAAGATAAATCACTCCCATAATATTCTTACCTAAGAACGTATTTGATATATATTCTGAGACCTGATTGCCTGATCGGCTCATTTCAGATAAGTGGGTCAACTCCCTGTTGAGCATTCTTTTAAACTGGAAAAGAAAAGAAGAAAAAAGCATGTTAACTGTCAAGAAATGGTTAACTTAGAATGAGAAAATTTAATTTATTTATAATAAATAAATATATTGCATTTAAAAGATACAGTAGACTGAGAGATGAACTGTAAAAAGAACAATGCAAAATAATATTGCTTTACTTCAGAACTTCTCCATGGTTAGAAGGCAGAATTTTAAAACAGATATTTCTCCAAAGATTCAGTGTCAGAGACATTCGGTCCATGTCAGCTACTGAAAAATGTAACCACAAGCACATGCATACCTGACGGTCTCTCACTGTTTCCCCCACACACAGTCTCCCACAGTATTCTTGTCAGCAAGTTAAGGAAGTATGGTTTGGATAAATGGACTGTAAGGTGGATAGAAAGCTGGCTAGATTGTCAAGCTCCAAGGGTAGTGATCAATGGCTTGATGTCTGGTTGATGGTTGGTGTCAAACAGAATGCCACAAGGGTCAGTTCTGGATCCAGTTTTGTTCAACATCTTTATTAATAATCTGGAAGAGGGGATGGATTGCATCCTCAGCAAGTTCATGGATGATACTAAGCTAGGAGGAGAGGTAAATACGCAGGAGCATAGGGATAGGGTCCAGAGTGACCTAGACAAATTGGAGGATTGGGCCAAAATAAATCTGATGAGGTTCAACAAGGACAAGTGCAGAGTCCTGTATTTAGGAAGGACTGCTACAGGCTGGGGACTGACTGACTAAGCAGCAGTTCAGCAGAAAAGGACCTGGGGATTACAGAGAATGAGAAGCTGAATATGAGTCAACAGTGTGCCCTGGTAGCCAAGAAGGCTAATGGCTTATTAGGACGCATTAGGAGGAGCATTGTCAGCAGATCTAGAGACGTGATTATTCCTCTTTATTTGGCGCAGGTGAGGCCACATCTGAGTATTGTGTCCAATTCTGGGCTCTCTGTTACAGAAAGGACCTGGACATACTGGAGTCCAGCAGAAATCAACAAAAATGATTAGGAGGCTGGAGCACGTGACTTATGAGGAGAGGCTGACGGATTTGGGCTTATTTAGTCTACAGAAGGGAAAATTGTGTAGTGTGTGATACTACCTAAAGGGGGGTTCCAAAGAGGATGGAGAGAGGCTGATCTCAGTGGTGACAGATGATAGAACAAGGAGCAACGTTTTAAAGTTGTAGTGGGGGAGGTCTAGGTTGGATATTAGGAAAAACTATTTTACTAGGAGGGTGGTGGATCACTGGAATGAGTTACCTAAGGAGGTGGCAGAATCGCCATCCATAGAGGTTTTAAAGTCTCCGCTTGATGAAGTCTTGTCTGGGACAGGGGCGGCCCGTGAGCATAGGCAGACTAGGTAGTCGTCTAGGGCGCCACCGGCCCGGGGTGCCTGATGATGACGTCATGGGGCGCCCTGGCACCGGATGATGAGGTCACAGCCATTGACGGCCATGCAGGCGGGGGTGCCGATTGTGCCTTCCGCCTGGGGCGCCAGCTGCCGCAGCCGGCCTCAGGTTGCTCCTGGTCTGGGATGATTAGTTGGGGCTGATCCTGCTTTGGGCAGGGGGTTGGACTTAATGACCTCCTGAAGTCTCTTCCAGCCCTTGATTCTATGATTCTATGACTGTAACTATTTTTATTATTTCAGTCTTCAGAATTTTAAATTTGGAGAGAAATAACTAAGGGTGTGTCTAGACTACAGGGTTTTGTTGACAAAAGTGGACTTTTGTCGACAAAACTATACCTGCATCTACACTACCGCTGAGTTCTGTCGACATAACATCGACAGAACTTGGCAGTTTTGTCGACGGCGGTAAACCTCATTCTATGAGGAATAATGCCTTTTGTCGACAGAATTCTGTTGACAGAAGGCGTTATTGCATCTACACTGTTCTTTGCGTCTACACTCTCATGTCGACAAAGTGGCTTGCTTTGTCAACAGAACTGGCTGTAGTCTAGACGCTCTTTGTCAACAGAAGCTTTGTCAACAGTATCTGTCGACAAAGCCTCTGTCGACAAAAGCCTGTAGTCTAGACTTATCCTATCGGTTATATTTTATATATACACAGAGGAACACACTTTAATTGTGCTAAGGAATGGGAAACCATCATTTTTGAACAACTCTCTGCTGTAGTTCTCTATCATAAACATACTCTCACGCTTTCCATATGGTTTATTACTATGCATTTTACAATTTTTCTCAAGTTTTTTTTTAAATAGCTCAGACTAAGCTCAGATATTTTCTAGGAAGGATCAAATATACCAGTATCTCTTCTTTACTCTAAACCCATAACAAAGCCATGTTGCAGTGGGGTTTTTTTTTATTACTTCTTTTTAAGCAATGGAAAATAGGACTTGCCCACTGGATCAGATCAATGATCACTTAGACCACGACCATGTCTCTGGCAAGGGGTAATGGCAGAGGCTTCAAAGCAGGCCCTCTGAGGGGGGAAAGAGGGAGCAAAGGGGACAACTGCCCCAGGTCCAGCAATTCAAACTCCCAGCAGCCAGAGCCCCAAGTTCTTTGAATTGCTGCCAAAGCCTCTAACTGGATATTCTTATTATCCATATAAAGGTGTACAGTAATTCCTCATTTAACACTAAAGATATGTTTCAGAAAATGATCGTGTTAAGTGAAAACGTGTTATACGGGGTCAATTTTCCTATTGAAAATAATGAAAAGATGGGGGTTGCGTTTCAAGAGGTGGTGTCTGTTGCAAGGGGAAACTCAGCCACTGGCCTGCAAGTGGGGGCAGAGGAGAGGGGGCAAGGCATCCGCCAAGGGAAGCCCTGTGCAGCTGCCGGTGATGGACCAGCTGGGGGAAATTGGGTTATTCTGGGGACGGTTGTGTTATCTGAAAAACGTCTCCCCCCCAAAAAATTGTGCTATCGTGAAAACGTGTTAAGTGGGCACGTGTTAAATGAGGAATTACTGTATTTCTGTCTTGAATTCTAATAAACTCTCAGCCTTGAGGATATCTTGTGGCAGTTATAGTTCCACAGATTAATTATACATTATGAAAAAAGAAGCTTTAGATTTATTGCCACAGAATGTAATTATACAGCCGGTCCCCAACTTACAGCCACCTCGACTTATGACCATCCGCACTTACGACCAAAGCGGTCGTAAATGCGGGCTCCGAGTTATGAACGCGATCCGTGTTTACTCAATGGGTTCCAAGTTACGACCATTCTGAGTTACGGCCAAGCATTTGGTCCATAACGTGTTTGTAACTCGGGGACCGGCTGTATAAACACCTGTCCTTGTATTATAAGGAACAGTAAATAATACGCAGCAATTCAAGTTACTTATTCCAATATATATTAACATGAGTTTGTCAGCACTGAATTTCATCTGTCATGAAATTTCATCTCATAGACTCATAGACTTTAAGGTCAGAAGGGACCATTATGATCATCTAGTCTGACCCCCTGCACAATGCAGGCCACAGAATCTCACCCACCCCCTCCTAGAATAATCCTCTCACCTATATCTCATATATTGAAGCCTTCAAATAGTTTTGAAGACCCCAAGATGCAGAGAATCCTGTGATCTGTACCCCATGCTACAGAGAAAGGCGAAAAACCTCCAGGGCATCTGCCAATCTACCCTGGAGGAAAATTCCTTCCCTACCCCAAATATGGTGATCAGCTAAACCCTGAACATGTGGGGAAGACTCAGCAGCCAGACACCCAGAAAGTTCTCTATAGTAACTCCCATCCCTCCATTGACCTATTTACCGCTGATAATGAATGGTCAATTAGTTACCAAGATTATGTTATCTCATCAAACCATCCCCTTCATAAACCCATGTAGTTTAATCTTGAAGCCAGCTAGATCTTTTGCCCCCACTACTTCCCTTGGAAGGCCGTTCCAGAACCTTACTCCTCTAATGGTTAGAAACCTTCGTCTAATCTCAAGTCTAAACTTCCTACCAGCCATCTTATATCCATTTGTTCTTGTGTCCACATTGGTATTAAGCTTAAATAATTCCTCTCCCTCCCTGGTATTTATCCCTCTAATATATTTAAAGAATGCAATCATGTCCCCCCTCAGCCTTCTTTTGGTTAAGGTAAACAAGCCAAGCTCCTTGAGTCTCCTTTCGTAAGACAGGTTTTCTATTCCTCGGATCATCCTAGTGGCTCTTCTTTGTACCTGTTCCAGTTTGAATTCATCCTTCTTAAACATGGGAGACCAGAACTGCACACAGTATTCCAAATGGGGTCTCACCAATGCCTTGTATAATGGCACTAACACCTCCTTATCCCTACTGGAAATACCTCGCCTAATACATCCCAAGACCGTATTAGCCGTTTTCATGGCCATGTCACAATGGTGGCTCATAGTCATCCTATAATCAACCAGGACTCCGAGGTCCGTCTCCTCCTCCGTTACTTCCAACTAACGTGTCCCCAGCTTATAACTAAAATTCTTGTTATTAATCCCTAAATGCATAACCTTACATTTCTCACTATTAAATTTCATCCTATTGCTATCACTCCAATTTACAAGGTCATCCAGATCTTCCTGTATGATATCCCGATCCTTTTCTGAATTGGCAATACCTCCCAACTTTGTGTCATCTGCAATTTTATCAGGACACTTCCACTTTTGGTGCTAAGGTCAGCAATAAAAAGATTAAATAAAATTGGCCCCAAAACTGATCCGTGAGGAACTCCGCTAGTAGCCTTCCTCCAACCTGACAGTTCACCTTTCAATATAACCCGCTGTAGTCTCCCCTTTAACCAATTGCTTATCCACCTCTCAACTTTCATATTAATCCCTATCTTTTCCAATTTAACCAATAATTCCCCATGTGGTACTGTATCAAATGCCTTACTAAAGTTGAGGTAGATTAGATCCACTGCATTTCCTTTATCTAAAAAATCTGTTACTTTCTCAAAAAAGGAGATCAGGTTGGTTTGGCACGATCTACCTTTTGTAAAACCATGTTGTAATTTGTCCCAATTGCCATTAGCCTCAATGTCTCTAACTACTTTCTCCTTC